AAACACAGTATAAAAGTTGATTTAAATGGTTTAAACCCCAGGAACATGCATTTAAACAATTTAAATGCACCGTCCTCAGTGTGTTAAAACTCCTTTTTCAGAATCAAATATTGGGTTGTCGGAAAAGTCATGATGCATTTTTGCAACAAAAAACATAGAAAAATATGTCATGACTTTTCCAACAACCCAATATTTGGTTCTCATTAGCGCTGAATCTACATAAAATTGATGATCCTGGTTGTCCTTGTAATTATTTTGTTTCTAAATCTTGTATTTTATAGAAAGAATTAATTATAGCATGTATCTGTTTTTTAAGTGCTAAATTGGATATTGGTTTAATAGCTCAAGGGGATTACCTTTGGGAATATAAGATTTATTAGATTCAATATTCCCCAAGTCTGTTTTCCTGCAGTGATCTATGACTTCGATTCCAGTAACAAACCCACCCAAATGAGGGGAGGTCGTAGGCATTCATTGTGAACCAGCCTTGCTCTCTTAGCCGGAAAGCTAGGTAGAGAGAACATAATTTGGTATGGAAAACTAAACCAAATTAACAACTTTCTTGATTTAAAAAAAAGTTAAAAACTGCACCTAATAGGCATATCAGTTCATGCTAAATAGTGTATTAAAAAGAATGGTTTTATTTTTATTTGCTATGTGTTTATATTGTACCAACGGCTTCCCTGACTGCACATAGAAACCACCTGGGAAGTAAATGCACCCCTACCTCAGGCCCCACTCCCAGATAGTCTTGATTATTTGTTCTGAGGCACCATTGGGGCATCAGGATTTTTAAAGCTCCCAGATGATTTAAATTCTGCAGTCAGGGTTGAGAATCACGTGTAGCCACTAAGACTGAAATGTATTTTTCTACTCTAAATAAAGAGGTTGCGTGAAATTAGAAGGACCAATTCCTGGGGAATGTGGGATATATGAATCATAATTAGGCCCTCTAAGTGTCAACCACAGCCTGGGCAGGGAACACCTGTGGATCCAAGAATTAAAAATGAATGATACTCTTTGTGCCACAATGATAATACATTCTACTCTCTGGGAAGCTATTAAAATATTCCTCTTAAGAATTTTTTTCAAGTCTATTTTACAGTGTCACGAGAGAAAGTAATATGAGGTTTTCAAGAAGGCTCTGCGCACTTAATCTGGCAGAGCTTTCTGCAAAATATTTTGGTATTTTATTTATGTGTGCATCAAACAGTGAAAGAAGGGAGAATGGGAGTTTGCCTGAGAAAAGAAAGAAAGAGGTTTCACTTTTGCTTTACATCAAGGAGTCTTGACTGGGCCTAGCTACCTCCTATTGCACTTTTAAAATCTTGAGGTCTGTTTGATGCATAAGTTTCCTAAGAGTCTAGCCTCATTTAAATGATAATTTATGTCTTTAGAATGCCATTTCTAGCCTGGTTCTTCTGCACACCCCTGGAGCTGATTAGAGTGTGGTGATCCGTTTGTTTTCAAAGGAAACTTCATGTTCATGTCCTCTCCACGGGGGTTAGTAGAGGAAGGCAAGAAAATAGTCCCATAGTGTTTCTGCCAGTTAATAGGAAAATTTTTTCCTTCTGTATATATCATGATAGGTAATTGAATTAGTACTATGGAAGGAAAGGGTTTGCTGTTTCATACTCCTATAGTTTTTTCTTAACACCATGAAATTAAAGACATGCCAGCATGGAGCTGAGTATTCCTGATCACTTTCAAATAAGCAATGTAGTATATTATTTCTTTTATGTGCTTTTACAGCACATGCTGTGCAAGATAATTGACTCCATGACAGATGTCTATATTTCAGAGAAAAATTTATTTGTGAAAGAACAAACATGTATGGGGCTATTCATTATATGGCCCACAAGGTGCTTTTTGACGACTTGTAAATTGAAATTAATATTTTCTCTGGTTGTTCTGAAACTATGTAAGCAAATTAGACCGATATAACCAACTGGAAACGTATTCTACTATTTGAGTGTAACCGTCTGTTCTCAATTAAGCTTGGGTGCTCTTAGATCTTATTTTAAATGCTAGAGAATGAGGAAGTGTGCACTTCTTTTTCTTTTCAGAGAATCCTGAAGGCCCTCACATTCTGCAAGTTGGCCAGGATAAGTTATGTCCATTGGACCCATATTTACAATAAAATTACTACCAAAAAGGTCTAAAAATTAGTATAAAAAAGATTCTCCATGGATCTTCCCTTACTCTGTCATTTCTGCTCAAAAGGTCACTCTTTTCCAAGACAAGCGCTAGGCTTCAGCACCTGAAGTCCTTCACATTTTTGTGTGAAGTGGATTGACTTGGAGAACTGTCAATATTAGGTGGACAAGGCTGCTGTAAAGGCAAATTGCAAAAAATGGAGGATTTGGATGGATGTCTGTCTCCATCTACTTTGTAACACGGCCTGAGACCAATTCTGCTGCTTGTAAATTAAATTCTCCCATTCTTTTTGTCTACAATAATTTTTCCCAGAAAAAAAAACAAACCCCAAAAGCTGGACCTTTCATCCCTGTCAGTTGACTGGATACCTTTTGCAATAAGATTGTACCATTAACATAAAATTAAAATAACTAATAGATACAGAGGGACTGTCATATTCAGGAAGAGTGTAAGTTTAATAAGGTTCTGTTTCAGAGATGACTTTTCTTCGAATGAGAAGAAAAGGAGACACTTTTTATTCAAGCCCGTCTCTTCCAGCCTCTTGAACTTGCAATTGCTTAGCCTTCTGTGCACTAGAGGAAATAAGGGAATAAAAGGAGATTTTATAATTAAGTTGGAGGTAGCCTTCATAAAAGCAAAACTGGGACATTAAGGACTGGTTTTGTAATGACCCTTCTAGAATGCAGAGCCAACCTCAGGGGAAGTGGAGCCCTGAGGCCAGGAGAAAGAAGTGTTCTGACCCATGAAGTGGAGGTGGATGGTTCCACTCCATAAGTACATGTTAAGCTGGTGTGCTCAGTGGCTGGACTGGGCACAGAGTGGGCTGCCCCAAGGCTGTAAAATATGAACTCCGGGCTTGGCAGTGGCTTCTTCATACATACTTGCTGTCGGTCAACACAGATGAAGCTGTGGCTGTGCCCACCAGGACTTTGAAGGTATGAGAGAAGGTTGCCATCAGGTAACATTGGAAATGTTGTCTCAGCCATTCTCCCACATTTTAAGGTAAAAATGTGGTCACCCACTGAACAGGAAAATTATCTGGACATAAAAATACAACGAATTGAGCTTAAAAATAAAAACCACCATAGCCTATACTTCTGTCCTTCCCCCACTTCCTTTTCCTCTCCTCAAAAGTGACTTATTTAAGGGAAGGTCCCAACTGTTAGCTTCAGTGAATAGCCCAGGTCAGGAGGGAGGGATGGATAAATGACTTTGGGGATGCCTAAAGCAGAACAGCCCAAAGAGCTGTAAACTGACCTAACGATGTTTTCTTGTATCTTGTCAGAGATGATCACTTTCCAGGATGAATTTCTCATCTCTTGCCACGAGCTTGGGGTCATCAGCCTTCATTGGAACGTAGAGCGGGTGAAGGCACGCTCTAGGTCCTGAAGTTTATCCATGACTCTCCACTGCTTGCTGGGAATTCTGCTGGGGGGGCGGTCCAGATTTCCCCACCTATCCACTTCTAGCATCGGTGGTTTCCTTACAGAGACGTTTTTCTTTCGGAGAGCTCCCCTATAGCTGGAGGTCTTTGCCTCCTTCATTACAGCCTCTCTCCCGCATACTCATTTGGTTCTCACTTTCCTTCCTAGCCCTTAGTCCCCTGGCTTCTCCTTTCTCACCTTCAGGGTCCCTCCTCCCAGCCTGCTCCCCGCTCCCAGCCCCCAACACGAAGACCCCAGGAAGAGGAGGTGCCTGGAAAGATCAAAGCACTGAGCTGGGGATCCGTGCCAGGAGCTGGGATGGAGGAGGTTGGGGAAAGGGAGGATGGGATTTCGGGAGATGAAAAGCGGCTGGCTTTGGAGAGGTTGGAGAGGGAAAAGGCGCAGTGAACCCACTCAGGTGGTAACCTGCAGAGGGGTCAAGGCAGTGGCAAACACCTGCATTGAATAAAACGCGTATCAATCTGTGCGTGTGTGTGTCTGTGTGTGTGTGTGTGGGGGGCGGTGTAAGGGAGTCAGTAACACAGCATCTAGCCATTGGGTGTAAAGCCTTCCGGTTGGATCTTCCCAGATCCCAGGCTCCCTGTTTTCTACTGCTTTGGGGGTGAAGCGGGGAGGGGGTAGGCTCCTGGGTTCCTTGCTTGCAGCTTAGGAGCGAAGCGCTCAGAATGTGCGCGCTGGGTACACTGCGCACTTAAGGTTTCGGAAAAAAAAGGGATGTGATGACAGAGGTGGGAATCCAAGCTAGGATGGGGGGTTCCCCCACGTCTGGAGTGCTGACAGAGAAGCACTGCGAAGACCTGAGCCAAGTGGCCTGAATCTACGGACCGGGCGGGGGTGTGTATGTGAATGGAAATTGCATCTTTTTCACAGATTCAACCCCGGTGCCCCGTCTGCCAGTTCTGCACACTCTCCTTGCTGGAGTCCCCAATCTCGGGCGCGAGGAGGAGCGAGAGGTCCTTGGTTCTCTGGGTGAATGTCCTCCCAATCCCGCGCTGGGCAGAGGGAGAGTCGGACATTTTTCTCGGCCTGTCTCCCAGCAGCCGGCGTGGCCACCTCGCAGGACTGCTTTTCGGGACGCGGGACCGGGGCGGAGCAAAGACAGACTTTCAGGCCGGGCCTTCATTCACCCCCTTCCCGGTGGCTCACAGGCGAGAGTTCCAGCTCTTGGCCACCTCCTGCCCGCACGTGAGTCCAAACACCCAGGACAAGCGATCACCGCCCTGGGAAACCCGGAGAAACTGCGCGCGACCAGGAGGTAACTGCGGGGACCGCCTTCCCAACCTCCGCGGCCCCCACGCCCGAAGGGGCAGGGGCGGGGCGGAGGCTGCGATCGCGGGGCGGGCTCGGGGGCGGCCGGGCGCCGCGGAGCCGCCCCGGGGGAGGGACTGAGCGCTGTCCCGGGGAGTCGAGCGCGAGCCGCTGACGGGTCTGGGCCCCACGCGCGCCGGGAGGAGGGAGCCCCCGCCGCAGCCGCGGCTGCCGCGTGCTCAGCCTGTCCCCACCCAGGAGCCGGAGCCTCCCAACTAACTCCGCCCGCCCCGCCCGCGCCCCGCCGCCCGCAGGCTCCCGCTTCCGTCCCGGACTGTGCCCGCGGCCGCGCAGGTTGGTGCCGCCGCGGGGCGGGCAGGGTGAGGGTGAGGGTGAGGGTGGGAGCGCGGAAGGGGCTCGGGGAGTTGGGCAGATGCTGGGCCGGGACGGGGATCCTGCTGCCTCGGCTCCCACGGCTTCCCCGCGCCGGAGGCGGGTGTCGATTTCCTCCGGGGCTGTTCGGGTCTCGGGGAATCCAGCGCCGCGGCCGGGGAGGGTCGCGCGCGGGGACTGAGCCCTCCTCGCACTCTCCAAACCTCTCTCTGACCCGCCTCACCGCCACCACCACGACCTTGGCCACTTGGTGCGGGGTCCCCCCCCCCAGTGCCTTTCACCTTCGCACTTTGTGAACCCTCACCCCGTAGGCGCATTTGTATATTCGCCCTTTCTGCTCCCAACTTGGAGAACTCTCCCTAAGGGCGAGAAAGACTCCCCTGTTCCCTGGCCAGCCCCTGAGACTAGTTTTGGGGAGAAATGGGGGCCGCCGCGAGAGTAGAGAGGGGCTGGAGCGGAGTTGCGACCTGCGGGTGCCAGAGTACCGGCGAGTGCCGGGAAGCGGTGGAAGTCCCCATCCTTGCCAGCTCTGTTCTCCTTCCTGCCGTTTCGCAAGCCCTAGAGTGTAATACTCCAGCGAAGGGTGATCGCAGAAGCGGGTTATAAAGTATCCACCACTTGGAATTCGATCGGGAGTTTTGTCTGGTTTCAGTCACTTTCCCATTAGTATGGCCTTTTGGCCCCTCCGTGTTCTCGGCTGCAAAATGTGTGTCTGCTGTGCCCACCAATGAGGGTATTTGTGACAGCGGGATGATTTAGGTGTATTACTTGATTTTGAGCCATGCCCTCTGGTCTCCTGAGGCTGCCTGGTGGCAGATCATGTGTTCTAATCGCCTGAGTTCAGGTCCTCTGGCACTGATAAAATTATATCCTTCTAGAATCTAGCTGATTTGGCCAGTAGCTTTGTTGAGATAAAAGACTCCTATTTCAGGATCTGGTCATTAGTATTGAAATCGTCTCCTTCCCACCGAACCCTATGCGCAAAGCTGGACATTACACCTTTTTATCGTCCTAGGAATTCAAATAGATCGTTATTGGCCCCAGTCTTTGGAAATAAGAACTGTGTTTGCTTCAGCTGTTTGCCAATCTTTACCTCTTTTCCATCTTAAGTGCAAATTTAAATTTGCTTCTAATTTTAACAATTCAGAAAGTAGACCTTCATTTTAATAAAGTAAGTTCAGACATTTAACTCAAACAAACGGCATATGCCCTATCATTTCTAAAAGTTTCAGTTTAAAATCAAAGGACAAGAAACATTGTTAGCAGTATTCTAATAAGTTTATGAAGAAAGCAAATAAATGGCCTAAGAAAGTTAGCTTTGGCCTGAAATAGCTAAGTCCTGTCATTCAAGAATTCCTGATTTAATCAGTATTTCAGGAGTTCCTGTATTGTGCTATATGCTTTTTTTTTAAAGATTTTTTTTATTGGGGAATTGGGGGATGGGAACAGCGCTGGGGAATTGGGGAAAGGGGAACAGACAAGTTGCTGTCCTTTTGTTCTTCAGTCTAGTGGTGGACGTTGCTTCACTTGCTCAAGTTGGCACCATCATTGCGCTCTTCCTGGGTGAGGTACATCAGTCGCCGGCTTCTGGACGGCCACTCACTGCGGCTGCTTGGCCGTTCACGCTGGCTGCTGGCTACACATGGTAGCCCATGGCAACTCACTGCAGCAATGGCTGCAGCCTACGCCGTTGCCGGGGACTCATGGCAGCCCAGCTCCAGGTTGAGCTGTTGTTCCGCATCTTAGCTGTGGAGGGCAGTGTCACTGGCCCTCATATGTGGGATCCGAACCGGGGCCCTCTGGCATCCCAAGCCAGCACTTAACCAAGCGCCACTAGGCCGGCCCTGTGCTATGTGCTTTTAAAGTTAGATATAAAATATGTTCCTTGCCTTCAAGGGGCTTCTAATCTAACTTAGAGACTAATAATTTTATTTCATATTTTTATATGAACTTCAGATATATTCTAATGACTACATAAGGCAAGTAGAAAGATGTCAAGAGTGCATTACCAAAGGCCCTTTCAGATCATTATTTGGTGAATCTACTTAATAGATTGGAACAGATAGCAAGTTTAGCTAAGCTAATGTAATTTGAAATAAAATTTCAAATGCTTCTACTTCCCCAAATGGGAGGAGGCATACTTGGAAAGATATACTTGTATTTTTATAATGAAAGCTCAGGAAAGCATTCACATGTGTATGACGTGGTAAATATTAAGAGCTCTATAAATTTCAATTTTAACTTCAATCAGTAAGTCAATTTATGGCGCCCACATGCAATTTTTTCTCCACTTCTTGAGAAATGACATTATAATGTGTAGAAAAAAATACAGAGATTGAATGTAACATTTTTAATAAGTTGAAACTTGAACATAATGGCCTGATGGACCCTGGATTGATTCTGGAAATTTGACTTCAAAAGTTACAAGATTGTTAGTGAGAGTTTTTTTGTTCCGTTTTTAACCATTAAAAAAAAAAAATCTGGCTTGGTGCAAAGAAGGCGAAGAATTCCACCTGGAAAAGATTGACCAGACTAGGTTGAATTTGGTGTAACTCAGTGACATCTCTGATTCTTTCCTGCTCCTAGGAAGAATTCATCCATCTGTTAGATAAGTGTAGAATTTCTTCGGCTTTGCGTCCCAGTACTGGGCTTTGAGAACTTTGATTCCACTCACACTGGGAGACAAGCACATTGAGGGGCAGCCTGAGGGATATGAAGTTAAATTACACTTGACCTTATTGGTCAGTACTTTTGTTTTCCTATTTGTGAAATGAAATTAAAGATCCTGTCGCTGTACTGGAAACCGTGTGGTTTGGTATAATAGTCATGAATATGGAGTCAGGAAGCATGTTGTGTGTATAAGAACTTTCTTTTTTTAATTTAATTTAATTTAATTTAATTTAATTTAATTTAATTAATTTGTTTTTAATTGAAGTTTATTGGGGTGACAATTGTTAGCAAAGTTACATAGATTTCAGGTGTAAAATTCTGTAATACATCATCTACCGTATTTCCCCATGTATAAGATGCACCCTTTTAAAAAAAATTTGGGGTCTAAAAACTGGGTGTGTCTTATATAGTGGTTGTAGATTGTTTTACTTGCATTTCCCACTGAGGACGAGGCAATATATGAAGACAGTGATTCGTCATCAGACACAGATGAGGACAAGCTAATGGTTGGGAGTTTTGACAGTGATGAGGAGTTGTATGAATTTTATGATGAATAAAACTTGAGTTCAGTAACTTAATGTAATGCATTTTTTTCAAATTTCGGGCCCCAAAATTAAGGTGCGTCTTATACATGGGAGCGTCTTATACATGGGGAAATACAGTATTATACAGTAAGTCCCCAACTTACGAACGAGTTCCATTCCGGGAGAACGTTCATAAGTCGGATTCTATCGTAAGTCCGACAAAGTGAATCTTATACACTTTTGACACAAATAGACAATGTAAATCCAATGGTTGAATGATTCATGTTATAAGAACAAACGATGTCTACCATCTTTCACCTCGGTCCAATCTCTCAATTATTTTCGCTTTTGTTTCCATGGTTATTGCTTTGCGTTTCCTAGCAGTCCCCTCCACATCACCACTGCTTTTCCTCTTGCTTCCAGACATCCTGGGCTCTGGTTGAGCACGGTACTACTGTGCACTATCGCACTGTACAGTAAGTACATAGCAGCACAACTGTGACAATGTCCGGCAGACACATGAGCTACTTCGACAATTTGTTCGCATCTACGAATGTTCGTAATGCAAGGTCCATTTGTATCTGTGAAAGTTCTCAACTCTAATGTTCGTAAATTGGGACTTACTGTATCACATTGTGTGTTCACCACCCAGAGTTAGTTCTCCCTCCATCACCATATATTTGATCTCCTTTAACGTCATCTACCACCCCTCTCCCCCCTTACTCTCTGGTACCACTTTCTTTACCCCTTTAATGCCTTTAGCTAGTAAAAGGTAATTGTTGCAACCACATACAAATAGCTTTAAAAAAGGGCGCTGAATAAAGTTGGTGGTGGTGTCACGTGCTCTGAAGTCTCCTGAGAGAAGTTTTGGTCATCTTTATCTCCTACACTTTGCTGTACTGATGTAGAGAATAAGACCTTCATCTTATCCCAGGTTGAACAGCTAGTTAGTGGCAGGAGTGTAACTGTAATTTCGATTGCCTGAGAAATAGTTCTTTGGTTTTTCCTTACTCGGTGCAGTCTCTTACCAACCAGGGCACATTAAAAAATCTCACATTTATAAATGGTTAAGCATTTGGCTTCAGGTTCTTAAGGGACTGGGTTGGAGTCCTGCCCAGGTGTTTACTAGTCATGTAACCTTGGATAACTTACTTAGCCTCCCACGTCCTCCGTTTTCTCATCTCCAAAATGAGAATAATGGAAATACTTAGGTGAAAGGACTGTTGTAATGACTAAATGAGCTAATTGGTGTGAATTGCTTAGCACATTACCTGTTGTTTATTATATGCCTACTATTCAAGTAATTTCAGTTTCTTGGGGGTGGGAGGGTGTGACATTTTAAAGGTCCAAATTAAAAAAAATAAATGCATAACAAATACACTCACACCCACACACATACCCTAAATATTTTTAATTAGGAATTCGTCAGCTAATTATTCAACAAGTGATCATTGAGCTCCTACTGTGTTGGGCCTCTTACTAGGTACTGACATACAATAGTGTACAATGTAGTCATAGTCACTCTCTTACGACCTAAAAATCTACACAGGGATGCAGACTTGTAAACAGAAAATTACAATCTCATGTGATCTGTGCTGTGATAAGAGTAATGCAGAGAACCACAGAAGATGGAGGGGATGGTTGGGGCCTGGGTGGGTAGGTGTCATACAGCGCATCACCTTATCCTAACTGGGCTTTATAGGGGTCAGGGAAACCTTCCCATGAATACACTAAGACCTGAAGAGTAAGTGATAGTTAGCAGGTGAA